AACAACTTAGATGGTCCAGACATAACTATCACACTTGCACCAACAAACCGGGCCTGATGCTGGCTAATCTTCTCAAGGCCCATACCCAAAATACCAACCTGATCAGATTACCTCTACCTAACAAAATCATTACCGCAAACCCCTCCAAAATCGTGGACACTTTCGGCAATGTATTGACCAAGTTATATCAAGCCCAGCAACCTCTCAACACAGAGTCGGTAGATGACCTCTTCCAAAATATTCATCTCCCCAAATTATCTACCTTCATAGTCGATAAACTAAAAACTGATATAATTGTTCCAGAGGTCCTTGCAGCAATAAAAAACACTCCAGAGTCAAAAATCCCCTGGTCCTGATGGTTTCTCAGCACTTAACTATAAAAAAAATTTGCCGACTTCCTGGCCCTCCATTTGACTAATTTTTTTAACCACTTACACTCCCATTTAGACCGCCACTCATCGACCACGGTAGCCCAAATAGTTATGATCCCAAAATCTGGAAAGGACCCTCAAGACCCCCACAACTTCAGACCTATTTCATTATTAAATGTCGATATCAAAATATTGGAAAAATCCTCGCCACTGGAATTAACTAAGTTAAGTTGAATTAAGATCAAGGGGGCTTCATCGCCCTCTGACAGGCTTCAGACAACACTCGTAGAGTTATCCATTTAATCCACCTGCTACGACAACACAAAACTCCTGGCATGATCCTGAGCCTGGACATACACAAAGCAATTGTTTCGCTCTCTTGGGAATACATGTAATACACTCTGGAAAAATGGGGCTTCCCACCCATCTTCATATCCTGGGTGAAGGCTCTCTACCGTGAACCCTCTGCCACGGTCCGTTATCTCTCCAGACAATCCTCCACTTCCCTATTCAAAGATTCAAAAGGGAACGCGTCAGAGATGCCCTCTTTTCCCAATACTTTTTGTTTTAGCCCTGGAACCTTTGCCTTCATCTCATAAGATCCAACCCGGATATCAATGGAGTCTCACTTTCCCACCAAACTTTCAAAGTTAGCGCATTTGCTGATGACCTACTTCTAACTTTGACTCAACCTCACACCTCCTTATCTACCCTCTGCTCCATTATAACTAGATTTCCCAATATATCAGGTCTAGTAGTAAACAAAGACAAAACTTCAGTCCTTATCGTTTATCTCCCCGCAACGGACATAAACTTGCTAATACAAAACTACAATTTTACCTGGCCCCCACACATCTAGAATAACTGGGGATTAACCTTACGAATGCTTACTATACTCTATACGAGGCCAATGACATTTCAGCTTTCCGCTCCCTTTAAAATCTCCTTACCACCTAGTCACACCAACCCCTCTCATAGATAGGTAGAATAAATGCAGTAAAATTGACCATCCCCCTAAACTTTTGTACTTCTTTCGCACTCTCCCAGTCCCAATCCCCCCTTATGCCCTGAAATCTTTTCAAAATCACATTTTACACTTTATCTAGGCCAACAAGAGATCTCGGGTCACATAACGCACCATGCTCACACACCGAAAACAGGGAGGCTTGGGGGTTACTAACTTCTGTAAGTATTATGTGGCGGCTCAAATCGAACCCTTAACCTCTTTGTATGCAGCACAACAAGCCCTCATATGGGTAGCTTTAGAAGCGCATTCCTGCCACCCAATCTCCCTCTCTTCGCTCTTATCGCTCCCATCAAAATCCAGACCCACATTTATCAGCCGCCTTATGGCCCACTCATTGCGCATATGGGACACCACACAATTCTCCAGTGGACTAATCTTTCCTCACTTACCATAACTCCCCTTTGTGGGTAATCCTCTGTTCCCGCCTGGCCTCGAATCCCCTTCCTCATTTCATTGGTGGACCTCCCACAACTTCCATTGTATCAATTCATTCCTTACGGGTGGCTCAGTTCACACTTGAGCAGAACTAAGGGACAAACACCAGGCCCCCCCTACAAAACCTTTCCACTATCTACAGCTCAAACATTGGGTAATTCGGTTCTCATTAATAAAGACCCCACCACACAATTATCGCTGTTTAAACACTTCTGCCACTGGACGCCTCTTTCTCTTAAAATGTATTTCAATCCTGTACTCACAAATAACTAACCTACAGAACCCAAACAACCACACTTACGTCTCCAGATGGAAAAGGAATCTCAAAGACACTAAAGATCGTGCATGCTGATTGCACATATGGTCAACTTTGACCTCATGTTCCATCAATGTTCTCACGATGGAAAAGATGGTATCTTGTCCCATCCAACCTAGTTTTTTCTCCACCCATCAGCCCCCAACATTTGCTTTTGTGGCTGTAACGCACCAGGCAATGTCTTACATATATGGTGGACATGCCCTATGATTTCCCAATTTTGGTCAAAAACTCTCAAATAACTTAAATCATTACTCACTTACCCCTTCCCAAGAAACCCTTGGTATACTCTCTTACACGCAAAGCCCTCCGGGTATATCTAAACACAAATTTAAACTAGCCACTCCCATGTATTTGCGGCTAAACAAACCATAGTGAAAGCCTGGAAACAGCAGTTCATACCCTTCGCAGAAGTTCATTGCCACCCTCGATTTCTTTTTAATAAATGAAAAACTGGCTAGTATATTCTCAGACACCCATGAGAGATTCCTTAAAACTTGGACTCCATGGATCCAAGATGCCCACCAGGAAATTTCAGCGAACAGTTTGATCTCACTCAAACCCAACCACACCTCACAAACCAAACTCAAGCATCAGGAGCACTGGCTGGTGACAGTATGGAAAATATATATTTATTTCTAAAAAAAAAATGTTATTACATTTTTCAATTTTTTCTCTACTCCTGTGGCCAGAGCAATACAATGTTACCATAGTAACACTGTACTACTCTGAGCAAGTGGTCAGGAGTTGTTTTTTTTTTTTTACACATTATGATTACTTTTACCAACAAATTACACTGGTATAAGCAAGCATTTTTACTGAATGAAATGGATTCATTCAATAGTTTTTGTTGTGATCAGCTGTGACTGGCCATGGGCTACAGATGGGCTGTGATTGGCCCAGTCTGTACATTTGATCACTGTGACCAACCACAGCTCACAGCACAGTTGTAAGCAGTGAATGGCATCAAAGGAAACCATTCATTGTTTACAACTGTCATGTAATATGCTGTGATTTGTCACTGTGATCACGTGACACTGGCAGCAGGCTGGAGTAGTGATCTGTCAAAGTTCACATACCTTTGAATGTTTGGTTTTGATACATACATAAATACAAGGTTACACACAGGGGTTAAAATGGCAATTAAGAGTTAATTTCCCACATTGTGGCTTTTTAAATTGCAATTAGTGTCTGTGCATAAATAGTCGATGAGTTTGTTAGCTCTCACATGAATGTACTGGCAAGGCTAGATACTGAGCCATGGGGATCACAAAAGAACTATCAAAAGACCTGCGTAACGAGGTCATGGAACTTTATAAAAGATGGAAAAAGATATAAAAAGATATTCAAAGCCTTGAATATGACAGTCAGTACTGTTAAATCACTTATTAAGATGTGGAAAATTGATACCAATCCAAGTACATGTGGACCAAGAAATATTGCAGCCACAACTACCAGAAGAATTGTTTAGGATACAAAATGCAAACTCAACAGCACGTACATTGATATCATTTACTATGACATAAAGTGAGTAACATGCCTCCCCATAATTATTTATATTAGATTTAAAGAAAGGGGATACTCACATAGGACTCTGAGAAGAGCAAGACGTAGAGCTTCCTATAAAACAAGAAATGAATTAATTTCTAATTCTAAAACTAAAATGGATGACAATCGTCTAAACCAGCGGTTCTCAACCTGGGGGTCGCAACCCCTTTGGGGGTCGAACGACCATTTCACAGGGGTCGCCTAAGACCATCGGAAAACACATATTTCCGATGGTCTTAGGAACCGAGACACCGCTCCTGTCTCAGGCGATCTGTGGGCGGGATGATATGCTGCCCCTGTCACCTGGCCACACCTCCGGGATCACTCAACAGCTCCGCCTCCTCGCCGCTGATTGGCCACCGGAATTGTAGCTCAGGAGAGGCACACATGCGGCCAATCACCGGCGAGGAGGTGGAGCTTGGAGAGGAGGAGCCGAGCGGCAGCGCGCGGAGATCGAAGAAGATCGAGGGAGCTGCAGGAACGAGTGAAGAGAGAGGCCAGAGAAGGAAGACAGCTGACAGGTAAGTGCAAATTTTGCTGCTGCAGCCAGGTATGCAGGCTGTAGATGGGAGAGGGAGAGAGCGAGCCCAGGCTGGAGCAGGGGTCAGCAAGGTAAGTATCATTGGTGTCAGTGGAAGGAATAGTGCCCCATCATTTGTGTCACTAATACCAACGATGGGGCACTATTCCTCCACCCACTGACACCAACGATGGGGCACTATCCTCCACCCACTGACACCAACGATGGGGCACTATTCCTCCCACTGACACCAACGATGGGGCACTATTCCTCCACCCACTGACACCAACGATGGGGCACTATTCCTCCACCCACTGACACCAACGATGGGGCACTATTCCTCCCACTGACACCAACGATGGGGCACTATTCCTCCCACTGACACCAACGATGGGGCACTATTCCTCCCACTGACACCAACGATTGGGCACTATTCCTCCCACTGACACCAACGATGGGGCACTATTCCTCCCACTGACACCAACGATGGGGCACTATTCCTCCCACTGACACCAATGATGGGGCACTATTCCTCCCACTGATACCAATGATGGGGCACTATTCCTCCCACTGACACCAATGATGGGGCACTATTCCTCCCACTGACACCAATGATGGAGCACTATTCCTCCCACTGACACCAATGATGGGGCACTATTCCTCCCACTGACACCAATGATGAGGCACTATTCCTCCCAATGACACCCACAATGGGGCACTATTCCTCCCACTGACACCCACAATGGGGCAACTATTCCTCCCACTGACACCCACAATGGGGCACTATTCCTCCCACTGACACCAATGATGGGGCACTATTCCTCCCACTGACACCAATGATGGGGCACTATTCCTCCCACTGACACCAATGATGGGGCACTATTCCTCCCACTAATACCAATGATGGGGCACTATTCCTCCCACTGACACCAATGATGGGGCACTATTCCTCCCACTGACACCAATGATGGGGCACTATTCCTCCAACTGACACCAAAGATGAGGCACTATTCCTCCCAATGACACCCACAGTGGGGCACTATTCCTCCCACTGACACCCACAATGGGGCACTATTCCTCCCACTGACACCAATGATTGGGCACTATTCCTCCCACTGACGCCAATGATGGGGCACTATTCCTCCCACTGACGCCAATGATGGGGCACTATTCCTCCCACTGACGCCAATGATTGTACACTATTCTTCCCACTGATGCCAATGATGGGGCACTATTCCCCCCACTGACACCAAAGATGGGGCACTATTCCTCCCACTGACACCAATGATGGGGCACTATTCCTCCCACTGACACCAATGATGGGGCACTATTCCTCCCACTGACACCAATGATGGGGCACTATTCCCCCCACTGACACCAATGATGGGGCACTATTCCTCCCACTGACACCAATGATGGAGCACTATTCCTCCCACTGACACCAATGATGGGGCACTATTCCTCCCACTGACACCAATGATGGGGCACTATTCCTTCCACTGACACCAATGATGGGGCACTATTCCTCCCACTGATACCAATGATGGGGCACTATTCCTCCCACTGATACCAATGATGGGGCACTATTCCTCCCACTGATACCAATGATGGGACACTATTCCTCCCACTAATGCCAATGATGGGGCACTATTCCTCCCACTGATACCAACGATGGGGCACTATTCCTCCCACTGACACCAACGATGGGGCACTATTCCTCCCACTGACACCAATGATGGGGCACTATTCATCCCACTGATACCAACGATGGGACACTATTCATCCCACTGACATCAGTGATAGGGCGCTAGTCCTCCCACTGCAAAATTACAGTTATGAAGTAGCAACGAAAATAATTTTATGGTTGGGGGTCACCACAACATGAGGAACTGTATTAAGGGGTCGCGGCATTAGAAAGGTTGAGAACCACTGCTCTAAACCAACCAGTAAGATTTATAACTAAATTTGGACAACAATGGAATGAGGTTAGAAAGACTCTGGATTCCCACTGGCATCTATTAACTCAAAACTCGGGAATAGCACAAATAGTAGGAGATAATCCACATATGGTAGCAAAAAGAGTTCAAAATTTGAATGATATTCTGGTGCAATCAGAGTTTCAAAGAATTCCTCAAACTAACTGGCTAAACAAACAAACTCGTACAACCGGGATGTTTCCTTGTGGACATTGTCAAGTTTGCCCGTTTGTTCATAAGACCAGCCAATTTTACAATACAGATGAAACCCAGAAATTTAAAATAAGGAATTTTATTAACTGTTCTAGCAATAAGATAATCTATATGATAGAATGCCCATGTAAAAAGAAATATATAGGGAAAACGAAGAGGACCCTTAGAACTAGAATTGGCGAACATCTGAGAGATATTAGAAATGAAAATAAGCATAGAAATAATAAAGAGAGAGAAAATCCACTTGCTCAACACTTTAAAGAAGTACATGGGGGAAAAATTGAGGGCCTAAAAGTCAAAGGAATTTTCCAACTAAATATTTCAGCTAGATGAGGAGACTTTGATAAAGTTCTCCTCCAAAAGGAAAAATATTGGATATATTCTCTTAATACACTAGTCCCTTATGGACTAAATACTGAACTCAATTTTAAAGTTTTTTTGAATTGAGTTAGAGAACTATCTTAATTTTTTTTAAAAATATATCCACATTGCCATTAGAGTTAAAAAATCACTGACATAAATATGTCCTTTAAAGGTGATCCTCTTTCCCGATAACAAAGGCCTCCCCGCAATGTCACCATAGAGTATATATTTTTTGCATAATTTTTGATTTTAGATGTAATGATGCTTTTTCAACACAAGAGGGCGACATATACGTTATATGTAGTTGGGGCACTATATAAGGCAACGGAATAACAGTCCCCTCCCAGTTCTGACGAAGTCTGCAGTGATTGGCGGACGAAACGCGTCAACATGATGACATCATTACGCTCGGCGTCTCCATAGGGCGCGGTGCCCACGAGGAAGGAAGAAGCGGTTTGCTTCAGCTCCACATTTGAAAGGCAGGAGACATTGAAACCACGATGAATACACCATCATAAGCAGCCCGCACATGGCGATCTTGAGTCACAGTATACTTCCACCGGTGGCAAGTTATTAGCCGTGTAGCATATTGAGGCTTGAGCCCTAATCTGTATATGTGGTATATCTTTACACCTCTGAAAAATCTGTGCTTATTTTTACCTCAGAATTGGGGGAATTTTTTGAACTCCCATTGGAGTAATACGTATTCAATACGATATATATATGCTGTGGCATGTGAAAATAGTCTCATATATCCACTAGGAATTACATTACTTCCTCATCATTTGAGCAATTTTTGGAAACCCAGTTTTGGGTATATATTTCACAGTATATTTAGACTGAGCTATATCAGTCTGGACTGTATATATTCACCACCTGGCTTCCCACCCCTGCATTCACTTTTTTCATCAAGACCTGATTGTACTTCAAGTGGGATTAAGTCCTCTTGATCTTCTATATGGTAATATTTAGTTTTTTTACCTCTATTTATTTTTATTCAGGTATATGCTTTTTGTCATTGATGTTTCACATTTATACACCTTTTTAGAATCATCTATTAAAGTGGATACACTTTCATATGGGGTGGTTACCCAGGAAGGCCATATATCCATCCTTCAATGATGGTCAAGCTTTTGAGAAGGTAATGATTTAAATATACACTAGCCATGTGTCTGCTGGGCTGACCTATTTGCCCAGTATATTTACCCTATCTTAGTTCCACCTACTATGATCTCTCTTTTTTGGTTTTTCCATTTCAGGAAGTCATTCTACTTATTTTGATTATTACCATAATGGTCCTTGAAGAATGATCTCCCTATGCTGATTTTGTATGGAAAATATGGAAAATTCTTTGATCTAGTAGTCAGGAACTCTATTGCCTTATGTGGATCCTCAATTGCTGAACAACCACTTTACTTGGAGACGCCGAATGCTTTTAAGTGATTTTATTATTACCTGTTTACCATATCTATGTTTAACCTCTATATGATCCATGTGATCGAATAAAGTTTTTTGAATGATATTACTACGCTTGGGTTTTCAAGTAACCACTTTTTTTTTTTTTAGCAGTACTGCATCTGTCACACTGCTATTTTTTGTTAGGAACATGCCTCCCCATACCCAGAAATATCAGATATTTTCTTATTCTAGGAAGGGTGTTTGAAGCAAACCTATTCTTTTGACCTGAAATTGGAGCTCCAGCCTTATGTTTGTGGTTTTTTTTTGGTCCGATGAAAAACGTTCTCTCTTTCTAGTTGATGCATCACCCATCAGTTTTAAACAACCATAGTAGGTCTGACTCTGAATGGTAGCTGTGATAAATGTAACGGTAAGAAGTATTTAAGAGTCTGAAGAGGGTGTGTTTGGGGACAAATGTCCTCCATGACAGACAGAGGGAGTGGAATGGAATAGTACGCTACAGCAATGTCTGGATGTAAAACTGAAGCCCTAAATAAGTAGACCATGCTCCCTTTGTAAATTTCAAGGTTTACTTTTCAGAGTGTGCCTTTAAAAGCCTATGAAAGCATATACATACTACATAAATTTAGAATTTCCATACAGAGTTTTGTTTGGTACTGGGATTACAGAAATGCATGTGGGTTTAAGTGACTGAAACACTACACAGAAAGAGTGTAAAATACATTTTTCCTTCAAACCATATTCCACAGAAGGACTCAGTCATTCAAGGTTGCAACCTTGCCAAGGAATCTTAAAATTAGGTGATAATAGGACTAGTTTTCTGGATAAAAAAAAATCCTTGTTATAATTACAAGATATTCTTTTTTTCCCTGCTTTTGATTAAGTGAGTCATGTAGAAATATGTAAAATATGCACAGCTAAAACCTAAAGATGGGCACATCAAAAGGACCTAGATTTATTGCCCAAGATGGCATGGGATAAAAAAAAAAGAAAAAAAACATTTAATGTGCCTCCAGATGCCTACCACAGTGTAAATGCATGGCCTCGGTGTGTTCCCTTGAAGCAGATATTAGTCAACGATTTACAACATGCACAGAAAAGCCGAGGCCTTCTGCAATTAAACGGGAGCTGCCATGTGGTGAATATTAAGGGTCCTTTTCACTCAGTAGCATCCCATGTAAAACTAAGAGCTACTATTCCTCCCACAGCACACAGGCCCCATTCATGAAATGTTCATTTATCTGAGGGGTGAGGAAAGATGTGTGGTCCTCGTGTGGATCTTCAAAGTTGGTGTGAAAACTCTGCCACTTTTTTAAGGTTTTATCTCTCCTACATAGCAATATCCAGAGAAACAGAGATGAGTGAAATAAATGCCAACACTGCAAGAACTTAAAGACACTGTGAAACTCAACCTTCCATGGTGTTTGCAAGTGTATACTGGATAGATAGATAGATAGATAGATAGATAGATAGATAGATAGATAGATAGATAGATATGGCAGAGCTATATGGATTGATAGATTGACAGGTAGATTAGTTTAGACAGAGATCGAGCAATAGATAAAACAAACAGATTTAAAGGTGAACTGAAAGCCCACGTTTTACTAACAACTAAAAGATCAGCGTAATATAAATATGCATTTTATTAATGGAAAATGCATTACAAATCTTGTTTCTGTTTATAGTTTCTAATAATATATCTACCAGGAGGGAAGACCCTCTTGCTCACTACATATGCAAAATTTGCTTCCTAATTAGCAGTTATGTTCAAGGTTGCTTCTTGCTGATTCCATTATTTCATTTCAGAAATTTACCAAATCGGGCTTGTCTACTGGAAAGCAGTCTTTGCAACCTACAATGATGGGATATACACTCAATGTTCCTGGTAGCTACAGGCCATGTGATCATTTGCCTTGGCTTTACCTGACATATAAAACCACATATATATATGTTTTGTTTTCTTTTATTCAGAATTAAAAAAGTTTGGCAATTTTGCTTGTGTTCTACTGATAATTGTGAAGTGTAAATGTATTGAAAAAAACATTAAAAGTAAAAATGGAGGCTACAATATTAGAAGCATACAACTATTTGGTACCCAATTACATACACACAACAGCCATTTGTTTTTTTCCCCACAATTTAAGGTGTTTAGCTATATATTTTAGGTAGTTTACCAGAAATCTATATATTGGTGGGTATATATATATATATATATATATATATATATATATATATATATATACACACACACACAATACAGCTTTGCAGGCTTCTAGGAAATGCAAATGTTTATATGTAAATTTAAAGACAATTTATTCCTAAATTCAATACAGAAAAAAAGCTGATTTTTACTAACTAAAAGTGTCAGAAAAGGCCTAGTCTTCACAATTTTTTTTTCTTTTGTAGATAAAAGCAAGCAT